AAAACATTTTTCATAATTGAGCCATCCGAATTCGATAAATTAAAAACAACATTTACTGATTTCGAAACTGTCATTTGTGAATGTTGAAAACATAACTGATATGATAACAAGGATATCAATAACAAAAATTTTTTTTTTCTCAAAACTCCCCTTCTAAAACTCTTTTTTAACCTCTTTCTTAAAAGCCCCCTTTATAGATTTCCAACCTACTAGAGTTCTCTTGGATTTTTCATCAAAATAAAAATATTTCACATCGACTCATCGGATATTTTAAAATAATTATTTACTTGTAAGAAGAAAAGCGGGGATCCCAAGAGAAAAGTCCAAATCCTGGATGTGGCCCTTCCTTCACAAAAATTCCCTTCAATAATCCTATTGCTTTCATTTTCGAAATCGAAAATTTTCGAAATCATTGTTTCTTTCGTTGTCATTTTAAAATAATTTTACAATGCAGTTTGTCATAATTTATATCGAATGTGATAGTCAAAACGAAATTTAAAATAATCAAAACTCGAAGTGCGTAGATCTCCCGGAAAAAATCATCGTTGTAGCAAATAGAGTTAGCTAAGCAGCAAAATGCTACTGAATGCTGAATTCAGGCCAAAAGGCCGAAAATATTTTTAAACGATAGGAACTTCCATTATTTACACTTTTGGGCTCTCTTTACAGCGAATTGAATAACTTTATTTGTTCCGCAATCCCAGATTTTTCAATTATCATTGGGTGTTTGTTCATTTAAATTGAATTTTCAGACATAAATAATTAAAAAACTTAGAAAATTCACCGATAAACTAATGAAATGAAAAGTATTTATATGCTAAAAAAGTTTCGAAAACTAAAGAATTTTTAAAAAAGATTTTCTAAAACTTAGAGAACTTTTCGTAATGCAAAATGAAGAAATGAAAATGAAAAATACTATGATAAATACTATGATATAATAAAATATTCAATGATCAAAAATCTAGCAATTTGAAGTATTAAATATGAATTCAATAAAAAGCTCGTTAAAAATTTTCTCCAGGTTTGTTAATACCAAATATTATGTATTAATCAACTTTCTTCGTATTAATATAATAAATTCATATAAATGTAACAAAGCATTCAACGATTCAGAAAAAATTTTTTTCGGGTGGCTAAATTCTATTTCTTATGAAATATTATTTAAATATACAAAAGCTTGAATAAAGCGAAGAGCAGAGCACTTTTTTGGCACAACTTCATTTCAGTGTTCCAAGCGGACAAGAAATTAATAAAATTTGTTAAGTGTCAAATTAAAATGAATTGTCAAGCTAATTTTTCGCCTCTCGCTCATCTTAATATGGAGAACATTGACTGAGAATAATTAAATTAGCTGAATTTCATTTCTTCTTTTGGCCGATTCTAAAAAACCGAAAAAATTCATATAACAAAGGATCAAAAAGCAATATCTACTAAGCTGTTTCACATTCGGAATATTATAGAATTTTACTAAAACAACAACTATCGACAACAATTATATTTTGTCGTAGAATTTCTCTTTCACTCTTAAATTTTTTGAAGAGAGGAAATATCCAAATAAATAAAAAAATTTACATTTAATTGACTACTAAATGAAATCTCTCGCATCCTTTACATGAATATTGATTAAAAGGAGAAAATATTCGTGTCCATCCGTGAACGAACAAAATGCAGCCGATATCTTTCTGTCCACATAAGTGCTACTAATTTTAATTTTCGCACATCGATTTTTTATGAATTTTCTGACGAAAAATATACAAATTATAAAAGAGAAACAGTAGATGGAAAAGAAGAAAGATTATAAAAATTATAAAGAAATTAATTAGGAAATCAAGAAAGACATCATTTATTGAATTTCCATTATCAGTAGGAGAATTAATGAAGTAACAAACGAAATGCTTGCTGAATTTCCTTTAATTGGAAAATTGACAATATATTCAATTCATCCAACACCACCAAAACTATATATGTGAACGATTCCTTACTTCATATTTCGTTTAAACCATTGATATTAGTCCATTAATCAGTTTACTCAAAAATATAACCATTTATTAAATTAAAAATATATTTGAAAAATAGAATAATAAAATTGTAACTGCGAAATTGTAATTATAAGTATAAAATGTATGACTAAATAAAAGACCTAATAATTTTGATAAAATTTGGCAACATCAAAAACATTTAGTCATTACTTAAAGAATTACAATATTTTTTTTAAAAACTTGACAAAATGACTTATGAGGAATGAAGCGTAAATTAAATGTTTATCATCCTCGACTTGTAGCTCGATATTTTGTGGGCCATTGTACATCATATTTTTATCAAAAATTTGAATTAAAATATTAGGAGAACATAATTAACTTTGCATTCGCGATCGTTTTCTACTAATTTTTCCCATTTAGAATCCAATTTGTGAATTTAGTTCTAAAGAACCTTGCGCATTTGAAATTGAAATGCTCACCAAGGTCATTTTTGAATCTTCAAACGAATTTTTCTAGGCAAAAAGCATTGAATTCTGAACAAACGGAAATCAGAAGAAGCAATTCCAAAAAATAGAATGAGAGATCCTAAGATTTCTTAGCCAGATGCATTGATTTTCTGGCATTTATTTTGGCATTTAGAGATATGCACTCTTGCATTATCATACATGGTTACACCTTTTCTGTAAGCTATTGTTTTTGATGCAATTTATTTTCGAAGAGGAGTGAGATATGCGTATTTGAACAGATTTTAACGGCTTAAAATGGATTTTCCTCTTCTTTTTACCATCAAATAAAAATGTTTTTCGTCATGAATAGTATTTTGTGTTGTTTTTCCTGATGATAACATTGGTATTTACGACTGGAATTACGTAGAGCACCACGGTTTCTTTTCTTTCTACTTCTAGAAAATTTAGATTGAAGAGCAGGCTGGTTAAAGTTAAAGCATAATCGATCAGCTTATATGGGATCCAAACATTAACTTTATTTGGTTTCCAGTACCATATAGAATTTACATTCCATAGCCTTTTTTTTCTTTTTTTTTCAGCAAATTCATTCAATGTTTTGGATTATTTTCAGAAATTATAGCAAACTACATTAATGCAATTAATCATTGAGGTACAGCAAAAACTTTATTTTTATCATTGCCAGTTAAATTCTCTCTGTTGGCTTCCCGAGCAGAGAAATTTTGCCAGACGCCACAAACATTATCCGGATTTTTTGAAAGAAGACAAGTTTAATCCTTATAAGTGTTGAGGATATTACAGATATTAAAATCTTAGGATCGAATCACTCCGAAATAACAGCAATAACCCACACAGCCATTCTTTCCTGTACGGCAACACTATTGTCCTGATGAGGCTTAGGCTTAAGGGCGTCGACCAGACCCTACTCTCGATACATTTTCGGCAACCGTCACTAGGTTACCGATAACTGAAAGGACAGGAGAAAAAATCCGTAACATCCTCATATTTAAGCAAATTATACGAGATTGTATGCTGTTGATGCAAATATCAAGTTAGTTAAAAATACTTTGCACGACTAAACCTTACTAATGCTAACCTTACTAACTTAATTTGTTTAAGGATTATTGAACGTAAAAATTGCAAAATGCTTGGACACTGTGCAATATTGTTGTTATCAGCGATGAAAAACTACGATTCGTTGTAGTTTGTATGTAATTCTGAAACTAAAAAATACCGCTTTACAGAAATAATCAAAAATCAAATCTAAAATTTAAAAAGAAAAAAAGCCGACCTTATTATAATTCAGCGCAATTTACCGTTATTCACCTACATCGTTGCCAATCAAACATTGGAGTTTTCTGAAAATAGAAAATGGCTTAAAGTAAATAAAAGAATATATTTGCATTGCACGCTAAAATCAAATTCGAATCTCGAAATTATTTTTGTAAAGAATAAAAAAATTTCACAACGTATCACTGAAAATAACGAAAATATTATTTTATATATTTCGCCGACTTTTTTCCTTATTTCAGTCGAAAACTACTAAAATTAATTAAATTCAATCACTGTTGAAATTATTAAGCCATTTATTCTTTTACAGTCCCCTTTGATTTATTTTTTATTAATGCAATTACTATTTTTATAGTCCGTAAATTAAATTAAAAATATAATACAAATTAATGCAGTCTGCAGTCCTTCCACTTAATATTTAACGTCTTAAATTTAGCACTTTAAAACCTAAGGAATATTTTGAAAGGAAACAGTCTGGGACGAGGAATAGCAAAAACTCTGAGAGCAATGTTCGTCCACTTTCCTCCGCGCGACTTTTTTTGTTTCATAAATTATCAGCTGAGATATTCGACTGTCGTTTGCGTATGTTGTGTCATAAAAAATTGAAAATTCGGGAATATTTTGGATCAATGGAATCGAATTTGGAAAACGGCTTGTCTTTGGTAGAGTTTTTTTATTTTTTAAAATTTATTTAATATATAAAAAGAAACGAGTCGCGGGGAGTAGCCGAACTGGCGGCGTGTTGCAAGGATTTGGGGCCCATTTGCGGCGGTTCGGTTGGACTTCAGGCGAGCGACGAGCACCGTGCGCTTCTGTCGCAGCCAAGAGACTCGCTGCCGAAGCGGCGAGTTTGCGAGGAGCGCTGAGCTTCAAGCGCGATTCGAGATTTGGAATTTTATTTAGAAGGGAAACATTAGTTTCGAAAAATCGCGGATTTCTCCTTTTTCACTTTTAATTTGCGAAAATAATGGCGATTATTGGTTTTTCGAAAATGTTTTTTGCACTGTTGTTGCACAAAAATGTTATAATTAACAGCGAAATTTTCGCCGATCATTTTTATGTAAATTTTTTTTTTAAATTTAAAATTTTCAAATTTTCCATCTTTTTTAGGGATTTTTAATTTAAAAATTTTAATTTAAAAAGAAAGGAGGAAAAAGAAAAAGAATAATTTTTAAATGTTCCCTTTTCTCAAATTTCGCTTAAATTATATTTATTTTCAGTAATTTCTATTTTTTCTATTTTTCAAACTTTTAATGATTTCAATAAAATGGTTTCAACAATTGCAAATTCAGCCGTTGATTTATTTTCATTTCTGTAAGTTTATATTATATCTTTTTTATTGTTTAATAAGTGGAAGTTTTGATAAGTGAGAAGATCTTTAAATTGATTTAAATTAATTTCGTTTATTTTATTTATTTCTAATATTTTAGGCGTGAATGGAAAGAGGTTTTTGGGAAGCAGATGGATATCAATCAAATAGAGAAAAAGTGCATTCTTGGAAAATTACGCTCTTCTTGCATACGCTCTATTGTTTGGCGAGTAATTTTTAAATTGTCTTCGAATACACCTAACTGAATATTAAACGATGAGCATCGTAATTGTAAATATACTAAATGATGTGAATTTGACTTTAATTAACATTTATTTTTGCCATTTAATCGCTAAATACTTTTATGTTAACTGCTAAAATTCATGAACATCATCATAACAACAACAATATCGTTTTTGTTGCGTATTATCTATCTATTCAGTTAATTAACATGTTGCAGGTTTTATTAAAATGTCTGCCTCACGATCGGAGTGAATGGTTATCTATAATAAAGCGTAACCGGTCAAATTATGCTCAGCTTAAATCACAAGTTTGTCTCATTTCACATTTTGAAATATTAGTTTTAAATTGTTCTGAACTTCATATTTTTTTCTAATTTCTTTCTGATTCTTTTGATTCTTCGATTGTAGTTATTTTCTCTTTTGAATTAAGCACTTCTTTTTATTTGCTTTTACGAAATGCGAATTCAGCATTGATAAGTCCTTGTTTTTGGTCATTATCAGAATTATAAATGATTTAGAGCTTGGTTATTCTTAGGATATTTTAATATTTTTAAAATATTTTAATACTCTTTATCAGTTATCTTTTATAATTCATGCATGTTTATATTATATTAAAAAAGTCTTATTATTCGATTGATTGCAGCCATTTTTTTGTTCCTTTAATTCTTGTGATAAAATTTGTATATATGTATATGTATATGTAGAAATTTAGATAAGAAGCAAGAAAATTTATTCTTTATAGTGATTTTAAATTTTTTGTAAACGTATTGTTTTTTCAGTGGCGAAAATAATATAAAAGTAATATAGAAAAAGTATGGAAAATACCGTATTTTGTTTTAGGCTGTTGCGGACCGAATTCATACTGAAGAAATTTCAGCATTTGATGTAGCGCTTTGCAATCCTCTTTCATCTTGGGAAAATGTATATTTTTGTGCTGAATGTACTTTTTTTCGTAACAAAATATTTATGATTATGAATATGAATGGTATTTATGAACTAATGTTTTTACTCGCCAAAATTTTTTAAAAAATTTGCTTTAAAATTTTCAGAATCCATGGCTGACGCATTTTGAAGATATTGAGCTAAAAAAGACAATCACTAAAGATGTATTACGAATGTAAGTTTATATTTTCAGCGCTCTGTAAATTTTCATTTTTTCTAAGGAGAAAGTGGAAGTGACTTATCCTTTAAGTAAGTTTTTTGAAGAATACGTCAAAACGTTAATTTTATTTTTGAATATTTTTGAATTTTTGGGCATCCCGATTTGGAATTTTTTTGTGATGATGGAATTCGTAAATGCATTTCTGATATTTTATTTGTTTATGCAAAGCACAACCCTCACAATTCTTACAATCAGGTTATTTCCTTTTCATATTTGATTATCCTTCGAGGCAGTAAAAAGAAATTTGTTTGTTTTTTTCTCATTAAAATTTCCTTTTCTTATTAAAATTTTCAATTTAAATGATGAATGAACTGCTTGATAAGGCATTGCAGGGAATGCATGAGGTCCTCGCACACTTTATTATGATTATTTACATCGATCAACGTTTATTCTTCCATTTATCGAAACAGAATGTCTCGAAGTAAGTTCTTGTTATATTTTTTTGTTGGATATATTATTTTGTTAAATTTTGAGATTTTAATTTTAAATTTTGAGAACCATTAAAATATCAAATATGATTTGTTGTTGCAATTATAATTATCGACAATTCAAAAAAAGAAAATATAAAAAGAGAATGGACAAATGCTTTTTCAGAAGGCTAATAGAAATTCGGCTAAATTTCTTAAGACTTTTTAAATATACTCTAAACTGGCATTAAGCAAAGGAATACTTTGGAAAGTTAGAATTGGGAAAATTTTATTTAAAAATCATGAATTTAAAGGTTTTAATTTAAAATTTAAAGACATTTAAAGTTTTTCGAAAGTTCTAATATTTAAAAATTTGGTTTAAGCTTTATGCTTAATATTTTCAGTTATCTTTCTGTTGATGATGCATTGCTTTTAAATGAATTAAACGATCCAGTTTTTCTTGAACACGATGCTTAGTGAGGATTACCTATTCTTTCATTTGTTCTTATTCTTGAATTCTTTTTATAGTTTTTATAGATTCGATAGGCTTTGATAAATTAATTACCTGTGCGTATAATCTTCTGATTCATATCTGAAAAGTTAATGCGGAATTTTTTAATTCTTTAATGAGTGCCATTTACTATTAGTTTTCAGCCAATTATTTGCGCAGTTAATGATGCTTCTTGGAAATTGGTATGCTTGTAATGATGAATCGTTTCAATTGCCAAGTAATAATAATGTTGTAATAGAAGCATTCTCTATACATGATTATTTACCCTCAAGCCAAATAGGCGAGAAAATTGCTCATATTATGCATGATATTCTTGCTGTTGTGGATCCTGAGCTCAGTCGACATTTGGAACGTCTCGAAATCCTACCTGAAGCGTTTGGCGTGTAAGAGTTTAATTTTAAATCAACAATCGTCGTAAGAAGTTTTCATTTAATTTTTAAAATTTTTTATGTAATTTTTCTGACGCTTAACTTTTTTTGGATTTAAAATTTAAGAAATCATTGATTCTAGACGATGGATAAGATTGCTTTTTGGGCGAGAGTTCAGACTGAATGATGTTTCATTTTTATGGGATGTAATTTTCGCCTCACAGCCTTTATTATCGCTTATGGATTTCATTTTTGTTTCTCTACTACAAAATATTCGACATTTGTGTAAGATTCATTTCTTTTTCTAGATTTTGGTTTTATCTAGATTTATAATTTGATTTGATAATTATAATTTGATTTTACCATTTTTGAAATAATTGTATGGAACAAATTTTATTCTTGTTAAGTTCTATAAAAGGTTATCGACATTTAAATTTTCTTACTATTGAAATACTTGTGATAAAATGGAACTCTTCGAATCAAAATTTTCTTAAGAAGAGAAAAAATTTCTTAATGAAGAAATGTTTTTGAGAAATATTTTACGATTTTTCCAAAAATATTTTTCTTCAAAGAAATTTTCGCAAATTTGTTTTTTTTTAATATTCAAATTTAATGAAATTAATTTATTTTTCTCAGTATTAAAGAGCGATTTTGGAAAGTGTATGAATTACTTAATGCATTACCCATCATCAGTTGATGTTCATATGGTCGTGCAACGTGCTCTATTTATCAAATCACCTAAAGTAAATACGATTCTGTTTATACTGATTCATCAATAATAATTCGTTTTATGAAATGTTTAAATTGCGGTTGAGTCAGCCGAAGTTTATTTGCATCCGAGATATTTTTGATTTTTTCTATACATTTTCTTAAACGATGCGTAAATTGCAGAGTAATCGTTGTGAAAACAACACTGTTTCATTATTTAAAAAGATTTCCTTCAGGTTTCAATAATATATTTTTTTGATTTGTGGATTTGTGAAAATTTTGTTAATGCTAATGGTTTAGTTATATTCATTGATTTTTCGCTTCGAAAATGGAAAATTTTTGGTGCATTAAGGGTTTTTCTTTAGGAAAGAACGTATAATCTCGTGCTTGTCGTTTTATTGAATAATTTTCAGTAAAATAAATATCTAAGTCAGATTCTCAGATTTTTTTTCAGAAATATAAATTCACACATCTGCCATCAAAAGCAATAAATTCAGCTGTCGAACAAGTTTCATTTATGAAAAATACGGCCAGATTAAGCAGCAATACCAGTCAGATTTTACTGCAACAAGATGGAACAAAAGCAGCAGAAAATGAAAGTAAAAAAAATTTTATTTCAAATTCTCGAGGGCCAAAGAAACTAAAAAACAATTTAGATTTAAATTATTCGTCGTTACTCGTACATAATTCTTAAAAATCTGAATTCCTTTTATTCTGTTGGCATTGTTGATTTAAATTTTTGCGGTGATGGTGTAGATTTTTCGATGATAGGTCAACTCTTGTTATTCCTCTCGAGAGCCGAGTCAGAATTCTTGGCTTGGTGAAAGAAACAAATTTTAAAAATTTTTAAGATTTTCTATAAAATTTTTTTTTTGCATCCTGATTTATTTAGCAACTGAGCAGAACCATATAAACGTTGCGGTTATGGCTGCTAGAGCACTTAATAACGGGCTTATGAGGAGAAGCGTGCCAAAAAGTTTATCTGATAATAATCGCTGTTTTCTTTTGAATCAGGTTAGTACCGATTCCTTTATTTAATTAATATATTTGCAGCCACAGTTTTTATATACTTTTTGTAAAGATTTTTAGAGATTTGTGATCCTTTTTTCTTCAGAGAAATGTTTCCACGACAACTTATTCAACAAATCACAGTGATGTTGAACGGTTGAAGGAAATTGAACGGATCACTATTTTGGTTATGAAACAAATCAAGAGGATCACAGGTAATCTTTTCTTTATTTTTTATGGTATTTTTTATTGTGATTTCTACAAAATTTTATATTTTTGCTTTACAGTTGGTATCCCATTCATTAATATTTATGGAATATATTATGAATTTAAAATTTTTTATGTTTCCTTCGATTTATATATTCTCTCAAAAATTGAAAAAATTTGTCTTGAAATGATTTTTTAAGGTGATATCAGTTCCATGGATATAAATGTTGAGACTAGAACACGGCTTATCAATGAACTGGAACAAGTCTATCTTAATTTAGCGCAAATGGCTTATAATGAAAAATTTATCGCTAAAAGAGATTGTAGGCCTCAAAACATAGCTTGTGAAGAATTGCCAACAAATATTAATTTTAGAAAAATAACGGCACCAGATATAACAAATACTTTTCCTGAAGGGCATAAATTAGGAAAAGATAATGAAATGAGACCTTTGGTTCCATTTAAAAAAACTTCTATAAATTTTTAAGGTAAATCTATTTGTTTTTGATCTACCGTGTATAGTTGGATTCTCGTATGATTTTTTATCTATTCATTATGGATCGCTTATCATGCAATGAGCAGTGGATATGTTCTTTTCTCAAAAATCCAAATTATATGCTTTCAGTTGATAGATTGAATATATGAAGTTAATTCTCGATTGAAGCTTGTAGCTTCAGTCTTTCATTAAATTCTTTCTATTTCATTCTTGCCGAAATGGCGGAAGCAAAAGGGCTATTTCGGGGTCAGCCCTTCCACTCCTTTTTGGAATCTTTTTTTGTTGATTCGCTATTTTGGCATGCCATTAAGCACCACTCTGGACTCAAGGAAACTACCTTGTCAACTTCTTTTTCATTGGTCCTTAATTGATCTAATTAATTTGTTGATAAGTTAAGCTAATTGTAGAATCCATTTTCTATTTTTATGACCCCATAATAGCCCTTTGCTTTCGCGACTCTTCCATTTGATAAAAGTGGTGCGTCAGCTTTGAACCCGTAGATTGACACAATATTGCCACTTAACTACCAGCGAACCTTAATGCTTTTAATTTTTTGTTGATTTATTATTTTAAAACTTTCCATTTCCTCGAATAATCGAGTAGTTTTCGCTTTATTCTGTATTTTTATTTTGTACATTTTCTAATTTATGAATTATTTTTAATTATATTTATTATTTAATTATTTTAATGTTTAATGTATATTTTAATGTCTAATTCAGCATCATGCTCAGCGAATTCATTTTTATCGATTTCATGGTTATTATAAATTTTTTTTAGGATTTATTTTTGCTATTATTTATTTATTTTTTTTTCAAAATAAAGTTTGTGCCATATTCACTGCCTAATTGCAATTAGAGGAGAAAAGAGGTTGACTAATAATGGCCGGCAAAAAAAATTGGGAAATATTTATTCAAATGGTTCGAAAAAAACAAAAGAATGTGGCAGATGATGGTATCGGACCAAGCGATAAAAATTCTTTGTACAAAATTGCGAAGATTTGAAATTACAATTAATTTATCACATCTAATAAAATTCGTCAAAGGTCAATGAGGAACACAAATGAAGCAAATAATTTGAAAACGTTGGGTGTGTTGGACGATACCATGTCTTCCATTATTCCAACGAAGTCCTCGACAGAAAAATTGATGGAAACAGTTGGAGAATATTTTGAAACAAAAAAGAGGCCTTAGCAGGTTTGCTTGATGCTAGAAAAGTACATAGAAACTGAGACAACTGATGCCGATAGACTGTCGGCGGAGAAAATTGTTGCAGCTTCTGAAATCAGCATTAAAGAAGTTTATCGGCATGGAAAGAAAGGATCAAACATGCGTTCACTCAAAATTCAACTAAAACATATCAAGAAGCCATATCCGTGTTGTGTGAAAAGAATGCCTGGGCGGTCGTTCCAAGTGGAAATTTTTACGAAAGGATCTAACCAAAAGGATTTACTTGATATTAGGCAAACAATTGTGAAAGGAATGTTACACTCATAATAGAAAGAAGCATATGGTTAGAAATCTTCGTAGAATGAATCATTAGATGGTTTTAAAATAACACGCGAAGACAGAACGGCAGATACCTAAAAAAGAGTGAAGATGGGCTTATCACTTTCACTCCCAATTATTACACCATTGATATGCATTCACGATTCTATTTGTTCCTCTAAAAATAACTAATAACTAAAATTTATCTTAATAATAGGAATGTTTTTCTCCTAAATCTATAGTGTCCACCGGTCGACGATATGGAAGCCAATTCACCAAAGATCTTTACGATTCGTTAATTGAATTAAAATTATTCGATTCTGGCAATGATGATTTTATTGAAATTTTTTTGAAAATCTTAACATGCCAAATATAACTAGAAAAATAAGTGCGTGAAAAACAGTAGCAAATTTGAGGGAATCTTTCTAAACTTTCATGTAGGTCTAGAGCAGCAGGTCAAAAACGCCACCAGGCATAGCGCCATATTAAAAGTTGTTCTTCCTACTTTTTTGTCGATGGCTTTAATGGTTAAAGTTGGGTTGCTTTCTTGCAAACGAGTCGCACTGAGAACTTTGCATTGAGTCTAAAGAGGAAGAGTGAGCCTCGGCTTGCGAGAGAGTCTGGCCATATATACTAATAAATAAAATATTGCTACCTCTTTCTATTGTAGCATTAAAATTCTTACAACTCCTTATTGTCCTTGGTTGTATAATCTAGATAACTTATATAATTGGATGCATCTTGTCGTTTTACTTCCGATTAGCTGAAATTTCATTTTTCAACTGAAATCTTTCCGAAATAAATTTGTTGGCTTTTTCTTAAAAACTCATCGTACAGTAATATCAAAAAAATTTTAAGTTTCATGCAATTATGGTTGTAATTCGATGTCGTCTTTTGACAAAGCACAACATATCTGGTCGGATTCGATTCATTGTCTCTAAGGCGAAGATCTTTCACCAGTTCGTAGCAGAGGAATGAATACTGCGATTTCGCTTTGCTCCTGTCAAATAACAGGAATCGAGCTCATTTGCTTTGCTTGCCTGCACTACTCTGGTAAAATATTAAATTATACTTATGCATTTTTTTTTTCTTTGCCACAAATACATTATTATAATTCTTTTAATGTGGTTATCTAAGAATAGAGAATGATATGATAAGAAAATAATTGTGGTAAATAAATAATAGATAAATAAATATAAATATAATATTTAGAATTTTTCTCCGCAGAATTTATTTCAAGATGATTTTTAATTTTCAAATTCAATTTAATTTTTTGCTTCATAAAATATTGATAAATAAAATATTGATAAATGGTGATAGAACAAGAAATCAGTCTGATTAGAAAACCTTTCTAAGTAAACCTGAGTAAACAATCTAAGTAAGCATTTTGTAGTGATGAAAAGATAGAGATTATATCTTCTGTGAATGGACATTTCGTTAGTGTGTGAGCACTAAAGCGCGTAAATTTAGTGGAAATGAGATTCGGAGATGATAATCAAAAAGTATAAATGTTCCAAAGCACATTACATGTCAGAATATTCTATCATGGAATATTATCAAAATGTTCTCGCATATTGTGATAAATATTAGATTAATCTAACGGGATTTGCATTTCAATAACCTAAATCAGCACAAAAATAAGTTAAAAAAAATTTTTTTCTGGCTTGCTTGGTCTAATTGCAACTCTTGCAGAGGGTCTTCTGGCAGAAATGATGTAAAATCATTTTTCCATACGCTCACTTAAAGATAGATGGGAAGATATAGTTTGGAGTTCAGTAGCAATTCAGAATTCACTTTCAGCGACGCAAGCAACATACGACTCAATGAAAAGATTTTGTTAATCACAGCGAAGGAAAATAAGGATCAAAAAATTTATCGCATTGAATAATGAATGAATGGACCCCGGAAACCATTTGAATTTTTGTTATCAAACAGTTAGCCTATGAAATTATTTTTCATCTTTCTAGAAAGTAACTGCTCTGATTAATAAGAATTCACTGAAAAAAATATCTAATAATGATGATAGGTAGGAAAATATGCCATCAAAGCGAATATAGATTCGTATTTACCCCAACATAATATTCCACGATCTCGATCTCCTGCTTGGAACATGTATAACTTGTGAAGGCATTTGCCAAGACCAATACATTCACTTAAATGTCCAATGGATCTCGATTTTTTTCGAGGCATTCAGTTTATATTTATTGTTCAATTTTGCGGGATTAGCATTGTCAGTGATTAGCATTACCTATATCTTTTAAAAACAGGTTTCTTGCCTGTAGTCGAGCTCCAGGTACCACTGTTTTAAAATTGAGCAACTGTATTCGAATGGATTCGTTTTTTTGGCAAAATCACTTAATTTGAATAATCTAAGTAGAATATTTAAGGACTCTATTCTGAGGTAAACAGGTCAAATGATATTCATTTTCGATATAATTTATCAAAAATAATAAAAATGCTATCTGTTATCCAAAAGTTTTTCATATCTGAAAATTGTTAAATTTGTCGTTAATAATTAAATTAAAAATGAATCATTTTTAATTATTAAAAAGTTTCTTTGATTGTGGGAAAAAATCGAAAGTTTGAAATAATAGAAGTAAAGGTTCCGAAGCAGTCAAACTAATAAAATAAAGCTGAAGTGAAATAAAGTTGATTTATGATTGTTGTAACTAAATAATGTGGATTCGAACTGTCTGATTATCTGGAATATTGATCAAAGGGCCAAATTATTTTATTTCAATTTCTTTTTTTAGCAAAATTAGCGACGTGAGATGTGTTGAAATTTTATAGAAAATTTTAAATTTTATAGAAATTTTATGGCAACAAAAAATTCTTATCAGATAAGCAGATAATTAATAGAGAAAAAAAATATCAACGAAACAATATCAACGAAAAGATGAAATGGTAAAATGCGATAGCGATAGTATTCTGAGGTTGATGCCCTCATCTTAGAAGGCTGATACTGGGGTTCCATTTCCAACAGGAATAAACCTGTCCTTCAAAAATCGAGGTGATGCTGGGGACTCACTTTACCTACCTTCCATTGTCTTTTATTGTCAGTTGGATAATGCAAGGAAACACCATAAAAGGTGAAAAAGCGCTTTTTAAAAAAATGCCATAGAAGAAAAATTAATTTAACAAATTAACAAAAATCGACAAATGGAAAATGAGAAAAAGAAAAAATTCTTTCTGAATTTATTGAAAATTTTTTAGCATTTTGAATTTTTGAGTTTAAGTTTGATTAATATTGATATTAATATTCTTTTTTGCGTTTTGGTTGGATTGCTGATTGCAAAGGTGAAGCGTTGCCAAACTACTTGATCCTATCCTTTTTCCACTACCTAAGCTCAGAATAAAATGCGTTCGAATTCAAGTGTTTTCTTGACTAAATATTATCACAAGACTCGGCATGTAATGAGGGATTTGTCTCTTCTGATGAGCAAGCATCCTAACCAACGAAGGCAACCAACCATGTGCTTAATGCAGATCGAAATTTACTAATAAATTGATTATCTTTAAAATCTTTAAAAATAAATTTAATAATTAACCTATAAATTTTTCGGTGAATTTTTCCATATATTTTCGATTATTTACCAACTGATATGAATATTAATATTAATAAATTGATATGAATATTAATAAGAATTTTTGGTTTAACTGTGCAA